GGGCATCCACCCTTGCCTTCTTTCCTAATCACGCTTACAGGTGGTTGGTCTGTCTCAACCATCCCCCCAACCCCTCGCCAATCCTTCCAAGAGATGTTGGGTGAAAACTAATTTTAACATTTAGTATTAAATAATACTTCAGATTAAAGTTAGAATAATAAAATTGACATTGCTTTTTTATAAATGTCATATTTTGCACAAAAGATAACATATTTACTCAGAGTAAACATTATATCTAAAATTTGTATGTCTAATGCAAAATCTATGATGTTTATATTCAAAATGATCATCAAATTCTAAGAATTCCAGCAATGTAAATTATATTCTGACCGGTAATTTGAATGAATTTTATGACCTAAAACAAATATTCAGTTAATAAAAAAAATATTTCATCGCAATGACAGTCTGTCGATCCTCCCTCCTCCACCTCCCACCAACCCTCCTCCCCGATGTGTGGGAAAACCAGAATATTTACCTTTAGTAATAAATAATACCTCAAACTAAGTTAGATAATATAATTGGCATTGCTGGATTCTTGTAAGAAGAATATTTTGAATACAAATGTCATATATTTTGGCACAAAAAATAACATATTTACTCAGAGTAAACATTATATCTAAAATTTGTATGTCTAATGCAAAAATCTATGATGTTTATATTCAAAATGATCATCATATTGTAAGAATTCCAAATGTAAATTATATTCTGGCGTAATTTGTATGAATTTTGGAGCAAACAGGCAGGCAGGCAGGTGGGTGGGCGACCTAAAAATAGCCGCCTGGAGCCGACACTCTGTGCGTATGTGGAAAAAACTGTTAGATTACAGGCACCAGATACGTGAAATCGTATTAAGCTGAACCGTTAATATATATATATATATATATATATATATATATATATATATATATATATATATATATATATATATATATATATTATTTATATTTATATATATATATATATATATATATTTATATTTATATATATATATATATATATATATATATACACACAGACACACACACACTCGGTTTACGCGTTTCCACATTTAAGCGGTCCCCGCCAGAACCGGAATGCCCAATTTACGTGGTGCATCTACTCATATACACGGGTGAAGTATAATTTTTTTATTTAGCTCATAAAATTCATACAAATTACCCAGCCAGATTATAATTTACATTGCTGGAATTCTTACAATATGATGATCATTTTAAATTTAAACATCATGGATTTTGCATTAGACATACAAATTTTAGATCTAATGTAAGAATTTTGTTTACACAGAGCAAATATGTTATCTTTTGTGCAAAATATATGACGTGTATATTCAAGATATTCCTGGTCTTGCAAGGAATCCAGCAATGTCAATTATATTATTCTAACTTTAATCTGAGGTATTATTTATTACTATACCTTAAAATCTAGTGTTTTCTCCCAAACATTTCTCAGAGAGGGAGGAGCCAGCAAGCGTGGGAAGAGGGGGGGGGGGGCAGGGAGTTAAGAGTCCATTATTTGAATGGACATTAACCTGGCGACTGTATTTCTCTTAAATATTTATTGTGTGTGCATACCATCATAAAATTAAGATGTTCTTTTTACTACAACATAGGTATTGTGTCGGAAAGAGTGGAGTTTGGGAGTCGGCCTCGTCTCTATTTCAATTAATCCCATATGTTCTGTTATTCCATTTATGCGTTTCTCGTTTTACATATATGTTCTAATGTATATGTATACATCATAGATGTTTATTGAACAGTACTATTCCATGTTTAATTTTTGTTTGTTTATTTATTTATTTATTTATTTAATTTATTTTTTCAGGTTGCCAGAATATTAGATCTGTGTACTCTGGACATGTCAAGTCTGGCATTTAGTTCGAGCATGATTGCAGCAACTGCCCTGTGCTATGTGATATCCCCAGCGGTGGCCTGTCAAGTGTCTGGCTATTCAAGAGAGCAACTCCAGGAGTGCCAAGACTGGATGGTAGCATTTTATCTTACTGCAAATGAGATGGGACCAATGCAACTGAAATCTTTTAGTCAAGTGGCTCAAGATGATATGCATAATATCCAAACACACTCTGTAGACCTCGATACTTTGGTGAGTAATTATTCACAGTTATTGGATAAGAATATGTATGCAATCTGTATTCTCATAGGATTAATATACTTCACTTTTAAGATTAAGGGAACCAGTAGTGCTGTAACTTTTATAATTAAGAATTGGAACTGGAAAATGTGTTTTAGGCTCATGTATTTTGTTGAGGTATTTGTATATGTGTGTACTGGTATGCATGTTTAAAATATTTATGGAAGAATTACCTTAAATAATATAAAATATTAATATGAAACAACACTCACGGCATCAGTAAGAATTCTAGTCATCATTACATGTCCCCATCAAGACTAAGGGGATTCTTACGGTAGAGTCAAAACATCAACTGGAGTCCCACACAGACTTTGGGGAGTCTGAAGAGTGGGAACTTGAGGTGTAGCCTTCATCCTGGTGAACAAAATGCTTGCCAGACATTTTCAAAGTTACACTGCCACTTCACAATCATAAAAACATGATAATAATGATAATAGGGACTCAAATCATTTAGGAAAAAAATGTAGGATTTGTTGCCATGTAGTTGTGGGGGATTAGTGGGTGTCATGTTACTGACCTGACCTGACCAATGTCAGGTGGAGGTGCGGTGGGAGATAAGTGGTCTCATGCAATGTCAGGTCACCCATTGTCAGGGTGGGGGATTAGTGGGTCTCATGACCTGAAGATGTCTTGAATAAAGACGAAAGTTTAGTAGCAAATGTATTTAAGGCTAGCAAAAAAGTGTATGAACTTTTATTCACAACATGTGCTCTAACCGTGTTAGAGAAATGAATTTGGTACCATCACACATGTGCATATGCATTCCTGAGGATGCTATTTTTTACTTATAACAAATAAACAATGAATGAGTTATAGTAGAATGAGAGAGGCAGGAGTTGGCAATATGCACCAGGTGGGAGGCAAACCTTTGTGTGGGGGGGGGGTCGGTGTGGTCAGTCTCTTCCCCCAAGGTTACTTCCCTTCCTCCCTACCTTACTCCACTCCACCACCTCCTGTACCCTAGCAGCTGCTGTAATTTTGTTAGAGAGATGAATTTGATACCATAATGATCCCGATTAAGTTCTCTACCAATAAAAGATCCCCAAACAAAATTTTTCAACAAGATATAATGATGGGGACTCGATTCTTTTATGAAAATAAAAGTGTAAGAAATGTTGATTAAGGAGTTGATGTAATTAGTTCTAATTACATTGAAATACCAATTTTATGCTAAAAATAATCCCAAATGATTTTCTAAAAGTTTGGTTTAATAAATATTCAGTAAAACCTTGATAAATCAGATTTAAGTATATCGGAATTAGCTTTTTTCGGACTCTCAGATGCTCTGGTCACCAGAAGTACTAAAAAAAATATTAAGAAATGGGAAGATTAATAAAAAAATTTGTGAAATGAACCACATTTACTGAATACTGTACAGTGGTCTAATGCGATTAGTTATAGGCCTACTGAGAACTAAGATACTTGAGTATGTAAGCAGGCTGGGGCTGATCAGGTGTTGCCACATGTGTTAGGTTTATTAAGTTATTTATTCAATATTATATTCTCATATGATTGGCCTCTTATGGTTTATGGTTCATCATGATTAATATAACGTCTTCAGTAATAGATAAAAAATACAATACTGTATTTAATTTGTAATATGACTTGAAAATAAAAGGATAAGCTGTATCAGAAGGTTATTTACTGAAGATGTGTTCGTGTAAGAGCTTTCAGCAGATAACCAGCTTACAACAGGGGTCACTATAACACACTGTACAGTATAGTATTTGATATGAAGAAACCTTTCAAAATTTTTTATTTACTCCCTTTGGTGTTATATGATGACTTAATTTGGCTACTTGTACACTTAGACAAATGATTAATGATGCATAATACTGAACACTACAATATTACTTATTAAGTGATGATAAATACAGTTGTATTTATTAAATGGTGATAAATACACTGCAATAGTATTTATTAAGTGATGATAAATACACGAATGTACTGTACTAATTTTTTAAGTGTTTAAGAAAAACTTTGGGGTAAGCCAAACAGCTGTTTGTCCTGTGTAAACAAACAATTCATGGTGGTGAGTGTGGGATTCTTTTTCCAGGAAAGTTGATTTTTTTATGATAATATTTTATCAACCTGGCACCAAATGATCCTAAATTATATGAGAATAAATATGGTGAAATTACATAAAGATGTGTTAAGGAATCTTTGGGGAGAGAGTACCCACCTCTGCTACCCCCTTCCCTTCCCCTCTGCCAGCTACTCCCAGATAAACACTTGTCTTCCACATACAGTATACCTCTACACTTAATTGCTCTTATTTTTATCTTTATAGTACTGTACAGTATACAGCTTTCTCTTCATTCACAAGACAATTTCTGTGGCTACTTACATATAACACTTTACAGTAAATAACAATCATTTCGGTGACAACAGTTTTTGACAACCAGGGCCGGTATACACAAAACTTTTCTGTTAATGGCATAATAGTACTGTTAGCTAGCAGTAAAACTTTGAAGTTATACAAAAAGCTTAACTAGCAAACTTTTACCACACAAATAGTTGTTTGTTAAGTACTGCTAAACAGCGCTAAGGATAGCAGGAGTTCATCATATAAAATGGTCTAACGGCTGAATAACCTCAATAAAATTATGAAGATTAATTTCAATATTTACATTTATATACATTTTGATCATTAAAATAAAATAAAATCTAATCTATGCCATTTGAAGGAGGATTTATTAACAAAGGGGAGTGAGCGGTTAGGATAGGATGGCTCGTGTAGATTGATACACGCTTAAGTGGTCCTGTTCTTTCTTTTTTTTTTTACCTTGGTTAGCCTGTTTGTAAGTAATTTTGCAAAATAACCGATTTCGCAAATCTAGAAATCACCCGAGGTAGGAAAGGCTGGGACCTAGATCAGACATAACTAGTTATTATACATTATACTTAAAAACAAGCATCAACTGTTGTCATATTCACATATTGGTACCACACAGTAGTAGGAATTAAACAATACATAATAGACCCAACCCACCAGCATAACACGGGGATGGCTCTTGGTGTCGACTCACTCCAGGGTGAATGTCTGTAGAGCAAAGCTAGTATTAGCCTTATTCTGGCTTACAAACTACCTCCACGAGATCATCACATTCTTCATTTAACACTTTTTATGCTCAATCTATCAAACACACCCTAACAGAGCAAGAAATACGTGGGACACACCTGTTACTGGGCCCACCCGACGCGTCTTTGTTATGTAAACAATGCCATAGCGTCTCCTCACCCCGGGCTGGGATGCATTCGCTCCGGCGCGAATTCCATTTCAAACCCACAAAATATTTATTTTCCTCCTCGGGCTTACAAAAATACATATCCATATCAATAATATTCTAAATCACAAAATAGTTGTCTCTGGAGTTCCTCATACCACATCTGTCCCCACTTAAGCCTATCATGGTACCCATGATACTAGGTACAGTATATAAGAAAATAAATGACCTAACATTCTGAGGCATTGAGCAGTTGGTAGGAGGAACTTTACAAATTGTACTGCCAGATAGGAACTAACAATGTGAAACTTAAATCTATAGCACCAAAATACTTTGAATTGTCAATTGAGGTAACCTAAACATATTTGAGTGTTTTCCTGCCGTAGCTCTCTTATTTCTACGGACTGCAAGTCCACTCCGAGACTCTTCCTCACTACTGCTACTACTACTATCTGCTACGGGGTTCAGGTCCTCATTAGAACTTTGTGTGTTTACCTCGTGCCTAGAGTTTTCACCACTGTCAGGACGTGGGTGCCTCACCGGGCAACCCCCATCATCATCATCACCATCATAGGTATCTGTCACATCTGAGCCATCAGCTACCCTTGGGGCTGCCCGCAATTGCATGCGGTGTATTACCTTTAAGGCCCCATCTCCTTCCCCAGGAACAATCCTTTCCACACTTCCCTCCTCATTCAGTCAGCTTACCCTCTGACCTGACTACCGATCGCTGCGGTGCTTTTTTGAAGATTAATAGGGTCATTACCTATACTTGACCACTGTGGACTCGATCTCACCCTCCTCTGTATATATATATATATAAACCTTGTTTTGTACTTCTCCTTAGTCTGTACTCATCCCTGAAGATGTGAATTACACGAAAGCGCTTGGGAACTTCTTGGGAACTTCGTGTTCTCTTTTTCCCGTGTGATTTTATCAAGATATATATATATATATATATATATATATATATATATATATATATATATATATATATATATATATATATATATATATATATATATATATATATATATATATATATACACACATACGTTATCATCCTAGATATTGAACCTAAATGACGTCTGATCATCAAACTTTTTATTTATACTTGTACTTACGTGTGTTACTATATATGTAATATCATAATAATTTTACTCTTAAATCACTACTGTAATGTGATACAGGTGATTAATTTTTATCTCTTGTGCAAAATACATGACGTTTTATATTAAAATTACTGTTTTATATATTCATAACGCTGGGCAGTTGGGGGGGAGGAGTGGTTGGGGCTTGGGGGAGGGAGGTAGTATCGTTTGAGCTGGCACTACCCAGTCTAACGCAGGTCACTGCTTATGATTTCAAAGCCAGTGACATGACCTGGTGAATATAATAATATTGTTGGGATTCTAGACTGATTATCAATATAAACATGCTATAATTAATATAAATAATTTAGTACCGTAATCAAATTAGTGTACACCAGAATTTAAAAGCCTATTATTTTTTATTAGTAAAAATAAATTGATGTAATTTACCAAATGCGAAAAAATTTATATTATAAATGTACTAATACTGTACACTAATGTACAGCGATTATTATCTCTGAGCAAAAATTATGACATTTATTTTTCAATTATTGGTTCTTGCAAGGATTCCAGCAATGTAATTATAAATTCCTAACTTTAGTTTGAGATATGAAAAGATAAAAAATCAAGGCCTAAATAAACCCCGGTTGAGCATGGATTAGGGAGGAGGGACGGAGCTGCTTTAGGTGGGATGGGATGTTAAGTCGGTTTGATGTTCGAAGGTTTGTTTAACAGTCTCTACAAGCTTTCTCATTTTAAATGGCATGATATGACCTAGTAGAATATAATTAACATAGCTGGGACTTGTAAGATACTGATTGATTAAAACATGTTGTAATTCACTGGACATAACAATTTTAATTTGAATCAAATTAGTACATGTGCACTCCAGCTTGCACTGTTGTCATTTATTTCTTTACGCTTATGGTAGTATGGTGTGCATGCAAATGGGTGAAAATAAATGAAAATCTTTATAAATGTACTAAGTATTGTACACTATTGTACTACATTTTTTTATATCTTGATAAAAAATATTGACGCTGGTCTAAAATAAATAATTTTGCAAGGATTTAAATGCAAATTATATTATCCTAACTTAGTCTGAGATATTATATAAAATAAACATAAAGAAATCACCAATCTTTTATCTGGGAAACACAAGGAGGAGGGAAGAGGAGGGGCAGGATATGTATTTATTTGTTTTTTATTTGAGATAAGATATGACAGTTGGTGAAGGCTGCCTGCGTGTTTATATTTTATCATTGACTAAGAGTACTGCTTTTTCATAATTTGCCACCAAACGACCTGGGTGAATATAACTTACATTGAGGGATTTTGTAAGATAGTAATTTATTTGAATACCTGTATAAACAAGCTATATTTACAATAGACATAACAATTTTAGTACCGTAATTGAGTGCAATACAGGTTTGCACTTAGGGTCCATTGTTACTGTACAATATTGACTAAATTCACTAGATAACGTATCGCCTGGCAGCACAATGTATAAGAATACGCTGCATACGTGACTGTACCTCTAGGCCATTTAGGTTCGCTAGGTCCCATTATTTGAATTTTTTTTTTTTTTTTTTTTTTTTCCAATTTAAATTTTAATTGTTTATTCCTTGATAGGGAAGGATCCTAGTGTGTTTGGCTGTAACTTCCTGTACCATAACACCAAGCAACTGGCCAGTGTCACAAGTATATATAATACAGTACAGTCATCCCGTTATTTTACCAATGGGACTCCGATAACTGTAGCAGAATCTTATGGGATTTATCTAATTGGTTCCAGGCACCCAAGACTCAACCCCAATGTATTTCCATGCCATTTATACCCACTAAATATATATATAATGTTATGGCAAATATCAAACACACACAGGCATGGCTAGGTTTATTACAAGTGATGAAAAGGGTACCTTAATACTGTAGTCCACAAAACATGTAGCTATGCTTTTTTATTTGGTCCCCATCATACAAGTCCTTTTTCTCTCACATCTAGATTGAGTCCTCCTTTTCTCTTAATCTTAGAGTGCACCAGAGATTTAATATTCTTAGTAATGCCACAGAATTTGAAATTGCAACTGGGGTGCAATTGTTGAGGCAACTAGATATGTCTGATTACAGCAATGTGTTATTGTCAATTTGTAGGTGAAAGAGTTTATCTCAATAGATGTAGGTTAACATTACACCTGTAGCCAAAAAGCCTAGGGAAGGGCATATTCTTAACACATAATATCTGACCAGAATGCGGGAGGATCATCGTGTTCTATTAGGTTCGTGGGAGTGGATCCAGGGCCACATGCAGTTTTTTTTATTGGGGGGCAGGCACGGACGTGATCATGCGACGTTGTTCGGTCGACGTAATCGGGAGACTATATATATATATATATATATATATATATATATATATATATATATATATATATATATATATATATATATATATATATATATATATATATATATATATATATATATATATATATATATATATATATATATATATATATATATATATATATATATATATATATATATATATATATATATATATATATATATATATAACCACTAGGAAAAAGAGAACACGGAGTTCCCAAGCGCTTTCGTGTATTTCACATCTTCAGGGATGAGTACAGACTAAGGAGAAGTACAAAACAAGGTTTATATATATATATATACAGAGGAGGGTCAGATCGAGTCCACAGTGGTCAGGTATAGGTAATGACCCTATTAATCTTCAAAAAAGCACCGCAGCGGTCGGTAGTTAGCTCAGAGGGTAAGCTGACCCAACCTTCTCACCTGGTTACAAATCTTCTTAATTACGAAATTATCCAATTTGTACATACCATTACTCAAATTCATGTTGACAGATTCGGTATGTTTAATGAGACTAGATTCTATAATGTTCCTACTGTCAATTGAATTACAAGGTAATATTGAGGAGGCATTATCCCAGTCAATGCAATGCTTATTATCCCTCAAATGAACAAACTGAGCATTGGATTCCTGGCCTGTCCTAACACTATATTTATGTTGTTTAAGTCTAGTTACAAGATCTTTATCTGTCTGGTATAAGTAAAACATATTACATTCCTTGCAAGGAGCCTTATAAATGCAGCCACCTGTATTGTTGGGGGAGTTCTGGATTAATATTTGTTTAACAGTGCATGAGTTTTTAAATGCCACATTGACGTTCCAGGTTTTTAGTTGTAAAGGAATTTGAGAGAAATTTTTGTGAAATGGTAATACTAAGAGATTCTTATGGTCATGGGTGGGCTTGGGATCAGTTCTATAAAAAGATTTCTTAGTAATGTTCAGGCATTTGTCTATGAAAGATCTAGGGTATTTAAGGTTCAAGCCAATATTATAGATATATTTATATTCCTCATCAATGAATTCCGGGCTGCAAATTCTCAAAGCACGTAAAAACATTGTTGAAAATACTGACTGTTTGACTCTATTATGGTGGGCAGAATAATAATGAATGTATGAACACACATTAGTAGGTTTTCTATAAATAATAATAATAATAATAAAATAATTAACGGTTTATTGAAAAAGTTCTGCAGCCCGAAGGCTGAAAATATACATTGGACATAAATGACTTATTAAATACATTGGTGGTTTAACAAAAGCCTTCATTAGAGAAAGGTAAAGGAACATACAGTGAACATTCAGATTAATGTAGGTGTTGAACAGCAAACACGTAGTGTAGTAACTCTCTCCCAGATGGTGTTAGGAGGGACCTCATGTGGTGTAGTAGTTCCCTCAGATGGTGTTATGAGGGACCACGTGGTGTAGTAATTCCCTCACATGGTGTTATGAGGGACCACGTGGTGTAGTAATTCCCTCACAGATGGTGGTATGAGGGACCTCACGTGGTGTGGTAATTACCTCAACGATGGTGTTATGAGGGGCCTCACGTGGTGTCGTAATTCCCTCACAGATGGTGTTATGAGGGGCCTCACGTGGTGTAGTAACTCCCTCACAGATGGTGTTATGAGGGGCATCACGTGGTGTAGTAATTCCCTCACAGATGGTGTTATGAGGGACTTGACGTGGTGAAGTAATTCCCTCACATATGGTGTTATGAGGGGCCTCACATGGTGTAGTAATTGCCTCACAGATGGTGTTATGAGGGGCCTCACGTGGTGTAGTAATTGCCTCACAGATGGTGTTATGAGGGGCCTCACGTGGTGTAGTAATTCCCTCACATATGGTGTTATGAGGGACCTGACGTGGTGTAGTAATTCCCTCACAGATGGTGTTATATGAGTGAGGTGTGGTCCCAGGCCTTCCTATCGTAGACAGATTAACACATCGGCTAGTTTGTTGTTGGGGGCCGTTATCACTGGGTACCTGGGACCTCACTGTGTGAAGGTTAACTTGGGAACGACTGTTACTGTTGAGTTGTTCTCACTGACTTAAGCACTGTTCACCACTGTTCACCTCTGTTTAACACTGGTTCCATTCCTTTCCTAAATGAAATTGTAACTTCTGGCGAGAACTTGTTGATATTCCGGTGGGGAGGAGGGTTCAGGGGAGGGAGTTAGTATGGGCCAACATAACAGGATGTACTGAACTTAAAGGTGTTACCTATTCTGTTTTCTTTTTCCTTGTGGTTATCAGCATAAACCTGGATCATGCGCACCCATAGTGATTTACTTGCATATATATATATATATATATATATATATATATATATATATATATATATATATATATATATATATATATATATATATATATATATATATATATATATATATATATATATATATATATATATATATATATATATATATATATATATATATATATATATATATATATATATAATTTCCTTGTCTATTACAGGAACGAGCACAAATCAGGTTGAATGAGGTGCGTTCATCGTCATCAAGGAAGAGTCCAGAGACATCTGGAGTATCAGCTGCGATGCTCACACCCCCAAAAACAGATGAGAAAACCAGATTTGTGGTAGAGTTTACCGGTTAAAACTTGGGTAACGTAGGAAATGGCAAATGCAACATCTCAGTTTTTCCATTCCGTTATTATGTTTTAGCTCTTTTCATCATATACAACATTTCTTATTGATGAAATTTTATCATTTCAAGGGATTTCTGAGGATACAAGACATTATTTGCTTGTTACTGTCTTGGCCAAGATTGTGGACATAGTGTTTTATGACTGTGGCCATTTTTATACATATCAGGTAGATATGGCCATGCTTATACATATCAAAAGCATTTCATGCTATATAGTGACTTAATATAACAAAAATATAAAGTTTTATAATACTTGCTTTGCTCACTAATGTATATGCTATGCATCATTGTATTGAATGTTGCAGAATGTTTTTTGATATTGATGTGTACAATATGATTTCATGTGGGCAATTTCTCAATTTTGGTAGAATAAATATCGGTAATTTTTATATTGCATAGTTTTTGTGTTTTGTTATAGGTTTACAATTTGGTAATTTATTATCTTAGAGGTTTTCCTTATCAAAGCTTATGAGGTTTTAATTATTTTTAATTTATACTGTACATAATTAGGTATGTAAATGTATGGATAAAGTGAATAGTTACGTGATAAAGTAAAAACTGAGGTGTGAAATGAATGGTTCAACACAGGCTATGTACATATGACTTTGCCTGGTAAAACAAATCTAGTCTTTTCCGTAAAGGGATTACAGTTTATTGTTTTAGCGCCAAGTGCAATGGTGTTTCATAAGGCCGTATTCAAGATCATGGAATGTAGGGCATCCCTATAGGGAAATATTACCGTAGGGAATGCCTACACCTGTTGGTGTAGTGCTTATTTTAAATTGCTCATACCTTGTTTCTTGCTCCAGGGCTGTGGAAAAGGGTGGCCTTTTGTATTATTGGTAAGCTTATAGATGTTAATATCAATTTGCACATGAAGTACCATAGAATAAAACTGAATTAGGAATAATTTATACATAAGAACCTATTGTCATCCTAACCAAAAAACTTTAAAAAGTTGTATGGTAGAACTTTGGAAAAGGTACTCAGATTAATGAGCAACATTAGGAATCTTTTCAATATAAAAAATAATTCCTTTTCTCAAGAACATCCAAACTATTGTGAATGAATAAATTTTTACCAGACCTAATTTACCCCCCTCCCCCCCTCAAAATAATAAAAAATAAATAATCAAAACTAACGGCTATCATATGTCATGGTACGTGACTTTTCCAACCTAACTTAATATCTTGGCTACATAGCTTCCAGTGCCCAGTTGGGAATTCCTGGCTAAGTAGCCACTTCCAATTCAATTACCAGTTGTAGACCTGGTGAAAAAGAAAAATTTTGGTTTATCATTTTAGAATTTTGGAAGCTGATAGCCTCAGCACATTTAGTGGTGTATGAGAGTAATGCTGATTCAGTTTGAATCGTTTATGCCCAAGGAAATTTATATAATTTGCCCCAAACGAAGTCTAGTATGGCACCTGTAAATTGCAAATTAAAACATCCAGAAGTCGCGCTTCACGTAGCAAATGATCATCTGAATGTCCCGGTAAGAAAGTTATAAACAAAATTGTTTTGATAAATAATTATTATTTTTTCTCCCCAACACTAGTGGCATTCCTTAAAAATAGCAAAATTGTTTGTTTATATTATTATTTTTATTGAAACGTGTACTGCACACAAATACTGTAGGGCATCCTCCCCCTCCAGTAATCCATAGGCAATCCCTACAAGCATCCTTAAGCATTGATCATGTCATGGGCTTTCACTAAACTTCTTGAATAACAAATGGAGGCATTGCCCATCGAATACCCTATGCTCCACAATTCTCTAATACGGTAGATAGAAATATGAAATGTTATTTTCAGGATTTTCCTCTGTAATTCATTTCACTTAAGGAAAATGCTGTATGCTCTGAGTGTTTGTGTAAATTGTACTAGCTTTTTAATTATATATGACAGTATACTGAAATGCACAATAAGGATTGGAAAATTTATGTATGTGATGCTACAGGGCTTTTAATTGTTGACTTCAGTCATGCATCTCATCTCAGAAGGGCATTTAGATGCCCCTAATTTTCAACTGTGCCATCAAATCTGCCAGGGGATACTAGGACATATTGTAACAGTTTTGAATTGTTACCTCGTCTTACAGGTGTTGTCCACCCATCTTTTCATGTTACAGGCAAAATTATACATGTTTCATGCTCATTAGCACTTGAGAAGGAAAATTAAATGTTCATGAACTGATTGTTAGTGTCTTTTATTCATGTTGTTATTGTTTGTATTTAACTTAACAGTACAAGCAGTTACAGAGTTCTTTCCATTGACATTTAAAAAATGAAACCATTGTTTATTCCAACTCTTCTAATAAATGTAAAGACAAAAATTTCAGGAGTGTTACATGTTATTAGACAAACAAATAACTTCCTTAATCTGCTGCATCCTTAATATGCAGTATGGAAAACCTGAATATAAATAAAAAGAAAAAAGAAGAAGAAATTTATTTTTAATCCTTTAAGTCCATACCACATGAATCAAATGATGAAAAAAAAACTATAAATAAGGCTTTGTGATTATATATATATATATATATATATATATATATATATATATAATGAAGTACATTACCTCCATCCTTTTTTTTAAAGGGTAAAAGAGGTATTCCAAACCCAGCAAGACACTAAAATTAAACCTTTTACAAATTCCTTGGAAGAGTTAACAAATGAACCCCCAAAATTACAAGAAACCTCTAATATTATCCTCTTTGAACTAAGTAAACGTACACTAATCCTATTGAAAATTAATTTTGATTCATTAATTACAACTTACTTTTCAGTAAAAACTTTGCTAAAAATACTCCATCCATGTGATTTTGATAGGTGTATATACGTCTGGTAAGGTGCATAGCCTTATTGAACCTAAGAGAAAAAGATAATTCGGAAAACAGTCACTACTGTACAGTGGGGTATGCTATAACGAATCTAATTGGTTCTAGAACCTTGTTCGTTATAGGATTAATCCGTTCCAGGCCCCCAAATACAACCACTTAACACTGAAAAATATAATATAAAATTGTAAAAAAGTGCATAAATATGCATCTAAACCCCTGAAATAAAGAATATCATCAATATTTGTAATAAAAAAACAATAAATTAGTAAAAAAAAAAAAAAAAAAATTTTTTTTTTTTAAATGTTCGTTGTAGGAGTTTTGTTCGTTATAGCATTCTCAATTTTATAGGTAAAACCGTTCGTTATAGGAATATTCATAGTAGGATCCGTTCGTTATAGCATACCCCACTGTATATAAATACTAAATTCATGGATACACAAGATAATAACCAAGATTCATTGGATGTCATTTGTAATTTATTAAGGTAAAGTATTACCTCTGTACTGTACTGTACTGATATTATTGGTGAGCAGCCAGTTTGGTATTGGAAGTTTTTCGGTATAAAATTAATAGAAAAAAATTTCCAATACCGAACTCTTCAGTAAATGTGAAAAAGTTAATTTTTTTTAGCCGAGATAAATTGTCAAAATTTTATATTTTTTTTTATTTAAATATAGTTTAACACAAGACAAAATCATCTTAAAGTATCTGTTTGAGTTCATCTTGTGTGAGTTAGCTAATTATAGTATTTCCACGCTAAGCTGGTCCGTAAGCCCCGCCTCTCTATAGCTACAAATAGCTGATTGGTTCCCCTGAGCGTTTTACCTCCCCCAGGACTGCGTATATATAAGCAGGAACTGTATTTGTATCAACCTTTTATAATAAATATTTAAAAATTAATAACATCCTCTCTGTAGTGCTAATGCCTTGAAATGATTTGCATTTTGATAAACCATATATTTAACATTATTTTAGATAACAGGTCTGCTTACCAACTGTGAACACAATTAGTTTGAATTTTCTATGAACCAATCGGCTATTAGTATAGAAGAGGGGCGGGGCCTACGGGCGAGGTTAGTGTGGAAATGTGTATAGTTAACCTTAATTTCTATAATATCTGAGATAGGAGAAAGTCCCAGCCTGGCCTAGGTTAACAAAAATAATAAAAATAAGCAAAGAAAAGTAATGGAATCCATCAAGAATGCACCACCATGTTCAGTCAATCATAATGAATCCACAACACAACACATTACCAGTCAGTTGTGTACTGTAAGATGGTAGCACATGTTGTCTTTGTTTCATGTAAAGAAACTATAAAAGTTGTGGAGAAATAATTTCATCACTAATGTGATTTGGAAATAAAGAAAATATAAGACTACAAAATAAGAAAAAAATGAAGAGCATTGTGTTGATTTTGTGAGGGAGGTAATCGTATATATTGAGTCACTGGATGGTTGTCAATAGCGCGAATGGCGAATTATCTAGTTAGGCCTATTTCAGTTTAAAAATGTGCACCGGCACACACCTTTGTTGTAAGTTTAGCATCATTTGCGAGTTCAGAGAACTGCAAGTCTCCTCAAAGGTTCTAGAGACTTCCATATGATTCTTGAATGTTCCTGAATCCTGATGTGCATATGTACAGCCTCTTCACTTCCAACTGGTACAATCAGCACTGTCAATACACTCTCTCTGTGTGGTGTGAACTCCGGGAGTATTGATTCTTGATTGCTTGAATCCGAAGCACTCACGAACGAGGGAGAGAGGGGGATTGAAGCCAGTGTGTGAGTGGGTGGTGGAGATGGGGTATTGTGGGGGTTGAGGAGGGTCAGAGTGTAGGGGGCCAGAAGGGTGGGGACAGTAAAGTATTTACCAGTGCATTACAATGCAGGATATATTAAGCAAGGATATAAATTCATAGGACAAAACACAAAGCATGAATAGAATGTGTTAGTACACATTATGGTGAAATTCCCAGCTTGTGCTATAGGTCAGAACAATTTATGCATGTTATGGATGTCCAACTTACGAACATCCACTAATACAGATGAGGTTAAACTTTAAATTTACAGTATTTTATTTACCTGATGACTTATTTTTTAATTTCATTTACTGTATTTTGTCATTCTATTTCTTCTCTCTTAAATTAAGTGATTTTAGATGTGAAGGTTACTAGTGTGCCCTGAAGAATGCAGTGATGGCTAGGGAAACACTGAGTAACACTGAGTCCGTTTATTGTGGATGAGAGAAATACAAGTGGTGACCAGCGTGTGCCATGCGCGGCTCACACAGTCAGACTGAGGCGCCTTGCCATATGGCAGCCTCGGGGCAATGTTGCCACATAACACGTGCAGTGTTGCCACGTGATAATATATATAAATGCTACTCGGCACAGTAGCTTATGTACAGGGTTGCTACTTGGCACAGTAGCTTATATACATAACCTACATCTCCCTCCCCCCTCACGCTCATAGTCTTTGTCTTGAGCGGACTTCTTAGTCCTAAGTCGCTCCGAGCGTCGAGGTGCACTGTGGGGCGGATCCTCGTGAGGTGTAGGTGACTCGTCTTCGGTCAGGGGGCCAGCAGCAGGGGGTGGGACTGGCCGGAGGAAGCGGCGGTTCCTCCACCAGACACGGCCACTCGGCATCCTGACCTTGTAGTCCCGCGACCGGCCGACGCCCATCACTATGCCCACCTTGTCCCAACGTGTCGTCGTCGGGTCCTGGACGCGGGCAAGGGCACCAATCTCCAGCGGCTGAAGAGGGCGGGCACGGTCGTCATACCGAGCCTTGGCGTCCTGGGCACGTGTAGCGGTGCGGCGGTAGCAGCTCTCGGCTTTGGTCTGCCAGTCCTTCGCAAAGGCCTTGGCGTGTGTAGGAACGCAAGAGCGGAGAGGGTGACCATACAGGATCTGGGCAGGGGAGCGTCCTGTGTGGGTGGGAGTGGACGCGGGTTCTGGGCAGCTCTGTGTGGCAGTGCCAGGCGCGTCGCTCGTTAACTCACGCACCCTGCTGGCGGTGTACCGAGCAGCTGGGATCTGCTCAGGAAAGTCTCTGGGCACCACGCCTAACTCCTTGCAGTGCTCCCACGACAACAAGGGTGTAGCGAGAGTAGGCCGCACGTCGATCCATCCGTGACACGACCTGTCGCCGTAGGTGATCTCTGCTTGAAAGGAGCCCACAGCGTCCGGCATCTGGGAACCGTCCGCATTGTAGTACAGCAGCTGCGGTGGTGGTCCCAGGTCGCGTTTGGTGAGGCCCAGTTTCTGGAGGTGCTTCAACCCAATCACCGTAGTATCGGCGCCGGTGTCCGGTATCACCTCGATGTGACCCGACACATCACCGTGTGTGACGGCGACGCGGATAGTAGGGGAAGGGGTAGCCCTGGAGCGTGTGGTCGATTCCACCCTCCTGATGTGACTCCGCTGCTGCTTGGGGCTGTGTGCGAACCACCCCGAGGGAAGTGCGCTGCTGTCCTCCTCGTCTTGGGCTTTTGGGCTTGGGTTGGCGGCAGCACTTGTCGTAGTGTCCATAGCGACCGCAGGCCTGACACTTGTGGCCTCGTGCAGGGCACCTGTCTGTGTTAGACCAGTGGCCCTTACGGTCACATCCACGACACAGTGCATCGGCGGCCGGGCAAGTCTTGGGGCTGTGCTGCTTTCCACAGCTGCCACAGGAAGCACTAGGCGGAGGCGTGGAAGAACGTGTGGCAGCCTTCGCGTTGTTGGCCGCCTTCTTATCCTTCTTGTATTGTGAGATAGCTCTCACAGCAGGTGGGGCCCGTAAGGCAGAGGTGGCGGACTTGGTGGCCTCGTATGACCGACATTCAGTCACTACCACCTGGAGTGTGGAGGAAGCGTCCAGGGGGATGAGTCGCTGCATCAACTCTTCGTGCCTGACACCTGTCAAGATCCCGTGCTTGATCCAGGCTTCCTCACATTCCCGGCTGTGCGCCTTGCAGACGTCGATCTCCTCTGACAAACTCTTCAAACGTACAAAAAAGTCGTCAAAGGATTCGTTCTCCGCCTGCTTGCAGCTGGTAAAGGCACGGCGACGCAAAGCCTCGTTGTTCCGACCCTTAACGTGCTCCTGTAAAAGGTCGAGCACATCCGTCACTGAAGAGGTAGAGTCGGGAGGCACGTGCAACGTGTGCTCCAAAACTCTCTGGGTCTCCAGCGACAAACACATCCGCAGTTGGATGAGCTGTTTGTTTGGAGGCATGCTGTCAAGGTCCACCATCGTGGAGTAATCTGTCCAACGCCGCCTCCACTCACGAAAAAGCTGAAACGTGACGTCTGGTGAGAGGGCGGGTGGGGGTTGAACAGATGCCTTGGGAGCTGTTGGGGTAGCAAGAGTACCTG